CGTGCAGCGGGGCTGCCGTAGCAAAACGCTTGAGGAAGCGTCTTTAGGTCACCGACCTTTCTTTCTTCATAAGAACCAAGTAATAGTGCAGCGGATAGCAATCAGCTGCCTCTAAAGCTACTTAAAAGTCTTAACCAAGCCTTCTGTTCAAAATCGGAACCGGGTTTTATTTATATTATTATCCTAAAGCTAAAAGTTTAAATTTTACTATATATATCGAAAAATCTAAATACTTCCATAACTACTGCCTACCTAGCCCCGTACCGTATTCTTGCTGAGTGTGTGGTCACATAACGTGTGACACCCCCCTGTTATTAGGGTTCGTGTAGCCCCGTTACAGTATAATGTGACTAATCGCTCTGCAACTGCAAAGTACATATATCGAGCCAATTCCACCAGTACTAAATGTATAATATTGACATCTCTCATACAATATTTTTTTCATCTTCTAATGTGCGGGTAGCCGGAGTTCTAATACTTATTTTAATAATTACCCCAAGTGCTTGTGTGCTGCCGCAATTTGTGAATGGGGCTCTAGTAAGGTATCATTATAATCTAAACTTAATTTCAAATATGAGCAAGTGTAGAATAATCTTGCGCGGCAACAATGCATAGACAAAAGTTGCTGATTTCAAATTTGGTTGATATATTACCCAGAACAGCAAAAAGAACACACATACCATTTCATATTTTTTTAGTCTAATACTAGTCATTTTTGACATATTTGGAATTTAATGGAAATGTCCTTCCATCACGCATTCGAAAGCTGGGGCTATGAACCGGCAAAAACCAATACAGAAATTCGCGAGACGTGCCAAAAACTTCCTGAAAATTTCGCACAATTCCGACATTGTAGTAATTGATGTAGTCGGGATCATCTCGCTTCTCGCAGTACTCAAGCGTGCTAAAGTTATTAATTACGAAATACAAATGCATGAGATAGAAGCACGCCAATGCCAAACCTAATACAGCGCTGCCGAAAAACACGCTAATAGTCTGTCAAATTGCAGAACACACGATGTCGGCAACAAGTAACGAGGCATAATCTACTTCCAATACAACCTGCAAGTGCGGATTAAACAGTCCTAGTTTGCCAAAGAAGTAAAGCGTGCCAGCTCGATCCAAACTCTCAGCTAATACGTAACGGAAGAGCAAACTGCTCTGATATAAACATGTCGACGCACTCCAACCCAGAAATAATATAAAAAACTTATAATTAAAGTAGCCGATACACCTACGACACGTCAGTAAGGTTACATACAACATGTCGCAAAGTATCCATTCACTAAAGATCTTGTACGTACTTGTTAATGTAGATGCAGTGGTGGTCCATTTTTAGCACACAGCGTCTACATGTACTACAATGATGAGCCCGATCGGGTTTGAGTGTGCGGCACTTACGACACGTGCGGATAGCACCGTTCATCTTGGTTTCAACCAACACATCATTAGGATCAGCTCCTGGTAACTTAAGCTCATGAAGCTTTTCTTTAGTCAGCGTGTGCTGCGGCAAGAATGAATCGCTTGAGCGTAGAGTCTGCGTCAGCGACCAGCACAACAAGAACGTCATGGTATTAAAGACCAGTAGCTCCGAGATCGACGCGCCGGCTTTAAGCACGCGACTGTGCGCAAAAATCATGAACGAAGTATACAGATACAATATCACTCCAATGATCACGCTTGGCAGCACGAAACGAAGCGGCGTGGGTGTACGCCACTCGCAGCAGCAACCCATCGGTTCAAGTGGCTTATAATAAATTACATACTGTGCGCCACATTAGATTTCTAGTTCAAAACAACAATTATTGTATTGTGCTCAAAACGTCGTGAAGGAAGGATCACATCTCCATTAAAGAAAGAAGTTGGCGCGATGGTGGTGATCGCACCTACACCCGATATACAGCTCCAGCGTACGTCATACGACGATTTAAATGCAGCTTTAGTGATCACGCAACAACCACCTGATACTTGGTACAAGGATCAATACGGTCGTAAGGCAACATTTGAGCTCAAAGTAGAGCGCACAATGAAATTTTGCACGCAGTGCGTAAGACAGCGTCTTTTGACTGTTCAATTGCTGTACGAAACTGGGTAAGTAGAACTTGAGAATTAAAGTTTGCAAAGGAGTTGCCTGATGGATCTTGTTGCTTAGTAAAGTGGTAGAGAAGCAGGAAATACTACACATCATGTCTGGACAATGTCTTGATACAAAAAATCAGAGTACGCTAGCAATGCGTATTGCAGAGGTGTCAAAGAATCACTTGAATCGGGTAAGCTAATGGTTATGATTGTGGCTTGTAAGAATTACCCAGTAACGAGAAAAAATGTTATTGGGCTGCAGCGATTTCGAATAAAACTTACAGCACCCACTTGCACCAATAATTGTAAGTTTGAAACATCAGTTGTGTCTAGGCCAATTCTTGTGCTATCGAAAAAGAAAAAGCGTCCAGGAAAGCATAATAAAGAGACGGATACGCTATCAGCTAATGCAAAAAAGATCAAAAGAATGCCAAAGCGAAGAAAGTCACATGACTCGCTTGATACTTTAGAAACGGCTACGATTATCGATAATGTAGAGGTAAAGCTAAAGCCTTCATTACGCACAGCGAACGCAACAGCCCCATTTACTCCCGAAACGCCGAATTTGAGTTTGTGGGCCAATGCAGCGTTTGATTTGCTATACAAATTGCAGTGGCAGCGCGACGTCGCGAGCAAAAACGACAATCGGAATGCGAAGCTCAAGGATTTGCTTGTCACGAGGTTGTCCAGAACGTACAAATGCCCTTCGTGTCTTGAAACGTACGGACAAATACCAATGCATCGCGAAGATTGTGATTTAAAGCTACTTCTGGAGCAAAATGGTGAGCTAGTACTCTATCCTTAGCTAAAGACTTTGAACTGAAGCATGTTCTTATAGAGACTGAGACGACAACAAGTGACGTTGTTCCCAAAAACCTTTCATCTTCTCACACACTTCTTTGGTCATCCGACGCGCTTTTGAATTGGCCAATTCAGACGAAGACGTTACATACACAGACAAATGTTAATAAATGTATCCTGCCACCGTATCAAAAGGAGCACGAAGTGATCGATATACAAGCACCTGTCCATAAAGACATTTTAGCAGCTTCAAATGCGTCTTTTCACGTCCATTCTTGGAATGACTGTGCGTCGATATCCAAGCTATTTCACAGGTACAGTAATGCTCATGTTCAGAAACAAGTATTACATCAATCACTCTTGTTCTACTGTTGTAACAGCACTTCATATGGTGACATAAAGCCATTCAAGTCAGAAAGTACCCCCGCTGTTCATCGGAGTGGGGTGTTGCCGCCTGTAAGCACACTTTCGTGTAATTTTTCAAGTCTTTGCAGCGCGACAAAAATGCAACAAACTGATATTGACAGCTCTCTACCATCTCAACGACTCTCAGTATTACTTGCAGTGTCGAAAGGCTTGTCTGTTCCTGCAGTCGATCTTTTCCGAGAGAGTGAAGCGGCATTGCGTAATGACGGCAGTATCGTCTGTTCAATGAGTTCAATGAATTTGAGTGAATTCTTTCGACCAAATTTAGAGAATCAAGCACTCAATGGCATGCAATTCCCCTTGTCAGCTATGCTATCGCCTGGTGGGATTGAGAATTGCGAAAAAAATGTTCAAATGGTTTTGGTGCACGACTTCCAAGGCTGCGGATTTCCAGCCTTGGACATCGCTTTGAATCTCGTGGGATTCTATCAGCTTTTGACTGAAACAGTACGTTGTTTTGTACGTTTGGTTTGCGCCTTTGTGTGTATAAGTGTTGCTTATATCATCCTTGTAGTGTATTAAACCAGCTGATTTGAGCTTCACACCTCACATATTCTCACTGCCCGAAGAAATGCTACAAGAATTGGAAGGCACAATCGCAGAATGGACAAGTAATTCAACACATTGTATCCAGCGAGATGTAACCCATAATGAGGCAGAGGTATCTTTAGCGAAGTTGAAAAGTGCAGTGCTTCAGAGGATACGAAAGTAATAGTCGGAGAATGCTACAAAAATTACAGATGAAAACATTTGGCAGCTGTACGAGAATCATTTTCTTAGCAAGATCTCACGTCTCCACCTCTTGAGGAGTCATTACTTTCGATCTTGGATGTATTTTATTAAATCCTGGACCAGAGAGTTATGTCAACCACAGATACCGGCAATTAAGAAATTTTGCTTAGATTGACGGTTATTGATCACGCTCATCGTTTTTGTTGCGAGACTCTTCATCAATACTGGTACACGTTATTGTGTTCTCAACAGCTACTTTCAAATTCATCTCCTTGTATAATCTATCTCTTCAATATATTTCTTCATGTCTTAGTCGTTAAGAGCTTCGTTTGAAGCCTTATATCCTTCATCAGTCTGAATGAAGGTGTTTTGATCGCGACTTGTTATCTTTTTGTATTCCTAGTTAAGAAATTTGCTTATGACTTGTTGGAATGAATTTGCCAAAGAATCGCTACTAGCAGCATCCTGACTAATAAGTTGGACTGCATGGATCTTAAGATTCAGTCTCCATATCAGTGTTAAAACTGCAGTAGCTTCACGTAAATTTAGTAATAAATACTACCGCATGGTTGGTTGCTGTCTCCATGTTCAAATGAAGGTGACAAACAATTTCAAGAGCAATGAATCGATAAAGCGATGAATCGATAAAGCGATGCCCATAGGTGCTACGATAGCAAGCCAGCATCAATGACACAATCAAGGCCGCCATCACAGCGATTATAACCGAAATGAGCGTGGTTATTTCAGATGAAAGCACATCCGACCGTTAAAATGAGTTCCGTTTCGCTGAAAATGATCGTGTTGTGGTTACCATAGTCAAGAGAATGAACAGTCTTGTTGAGAAAAGAGTAATACCTGCTTTTTGAATGGCTCCATTGTATCTTTTTTGAATGAACAATACCGTCCAAGTGACTGCATCTCAGCATCAGCGACAAAATCTTCCATGGTTTCGATCACGGTACTGCCATCCGCCCTATACCAACCTAGTGCTCGTCTCATAGTACCTGATCGGTCCGTAGCTAATGCATATGTAGCTCTATTGCATCAAGCGTGCTTATAATGAATAGTGAATTTGTTTGCAAGGTAGCATCACGTCATTTTTGACTAAAGCCAGTCGGCTGTAACTTGGAAATCCCACGTTCATAAACTTTCATAATTGTTTTTTTATCAATTCGGCAACCTCAACCAGATTTCAGTCATGGTACATCCAAATGCGCCGCTCGTATCTGATTTGGCTGTAAAAGCACAGGAAGCCAATGCGCAGTTCCTGTTAAAAAAATCTTTTTGACGATACAAAGTGTTGCACAACGCTGAAGCATCTACGCTTAATTGACATGAAAAGTCTGGGCAATCAATCGATTGACGAGTGACATTTGTACTCACTGTTGCGACGATACTTAACGCCACCAGTGTACTGACCGAAATGTTTACGGACGAGTCATTATATCATTCCATCTCGACATTTTTATGCGTGTAACCTACATCCATTTAAGCACAATCACCGCTTCTCGAGCAGTGATTCCATGGACATTCGAATATGAATTCGCGTTGAGGTGGAATACGATGGAGCTGATTAGTGGTATCGACGGTGTTGGGTATGGAGTTTTCATTGAGCGCCATGACGGCCAGCTCGTGCGTTTGATTCTTAAAATCGATTACGTTACGTGTATGGTCACAAAGAATCGGTGAGCTGCTTCCAGTCGTGCTACACGCAAACAATGGAATAGAAGGCGCCTTATTCTACTGCGCATGCGGTCGGCAAGATGACGTTGTTGCCGTCAAACTGAGCTAATTTTTTAAGGTAGTCTGTGAATGTCGAACCAGAGTCTAATAGTCAATAGTTGCTAGGCCGTCAATTCCCAATGGTGAGATATGCAGGTTCTGCGGAATACAGTGGCTGTTGCAATCGATATGGAAGGCACTACGAAGCTGTGTGACCTCCTAAAAAAACTTATGTTCTGAATGGCCTGTACTATAGAGAGCGTCTCACTCCGTTGATCCGGGAGCTGGCTCGAGAGTCGACAAATACTCACAACATACGTCAAGTTATGAAAAAATGTTCGTGAGGAGCTAACGTAACATCAAAGATTTTGTGCTTGTTTTTGTTCCTATCGATCGCCTGTTTGCACATATTAGACATAATAAGACGTCGATAGCAAGGACGGATGATTTCGTGCATTTGCAATTCCATGTAGCGTTGCTTTCACACTTTATCTGAATTCTTTTCTCGAGCACTCACGCCGTCTGATAACATCATCAAAAATTATCTAAAACCAGGATTTTTATCTTGGTCGTAACTGCATTGGTCTTCATATACATTTATATATTTATACGCCGAATTTCGAACGCTGACATCGATGGAGGAGACTACACCTCCTCGAGATGCCGCAGAGCAGACCACTCTAGCACCTCCAACGCCGACGGCTTCTACATCTCACAAGTTGAGCGTGTACTCGCGGCTGTACGACCCCAAATCGTACACAGGTGTATACAAAAAACGCTTTGAAGACGAATGCAATGACCTCTCGGAGCTTGTCGTGCACGACCTATCGAATACCACACGTACGAATCTCAATCACGACGTAAGTCGTACAAAGCAGCGAATGACGTAAGTCATTGCAAGCGCTGGAGTCTCTTGAGATTTAGTACTTAGTGCAAACTTGTGCATGACAGGTCGATTCCGAACATTGTCAACAGTAGCTCCCTAAGGAATTGTGCTGCTCCCTCTACGATAATTGCTCCGGTCATTAATCCAACGTCCACATCTCCTGTGAAGGAGAAGATTTATGGAGACCCGAACGACCCTCATACACTTTTGAAAACAGTGTTTCATTATTACTGTCGCTTCGGAAGGACTGGTCCAAAAGGACTTGGCGAAAAGACTCTTGGTACGTCGCCGCGCTGAATATTTACAATCAAAGAGCACTTTGATGCAACGTTGCGCTTTTTCTTGCTAGATAACTCGAATTTTGTCAAGCTGTGCCGTGACTGTCCTGATCTGCTTGACGATTTATTTGGTCAAACAGACGTGGATCTTATTTTTGTAAAAGTTAAGAAGAAGGGTGAGCGCCGAATCAATTACACGCGATTTCTGGACGCTCTTGGCATGATCGCCGTTCAAAAATATGGAGATATGGTAATGTTATCATCATTTTAAGTTATAGCGCAGTTTGAATAGTTTATCGTGACTATTTTCCCTATGCAGCCACTTGAGGCGTCAGTGCCAAAGCTATTGGAGGCACATCTCGCACACTTACATTGTCTACTTGAATTTACTGACGGCAAGACGGTGCGTAACTACATCAAATCGTTCAATTTGCATATAAAACCCAATGTGTCACCATGTGAATCTTGCAGGTCCAGGCCGTGTGGCAGAATCGAACACATCACAATGAAAAAAATATAGTAGACGAAGTGTCTCCACCTGTGTGCCAGATTGGACGACAAGTAGACGACACCATTACCGATCAAACATTTTCTTAGCGGATCCGGTAATAAATAAATTGTACTAAATAAATTGATTTTCTAAAAAAATCAAAAGACGTTAAGTATTTCCAATGTTCTTTCCGTCGCTTACAAATCCAAGTCAATTCCATTAAGACCCAAGACATGAGCTCCTCGACTTTCGGCGATTTGCGTCTATTACCTGTAGACTACCGCCGTCAAGTGGCAAAAGAACTGGCTGCCTTTTTCCACACTTTTTACCGCTTTGGTGCTGCTTCTAATAAATTCAATTTAAGCGATGAAGCGTACTTGAATTTCCTACACAATGTTCTCTTGGGCTCCATGTGTATCGGAGCCGTCGTCTTCCTCGTACTAAGCGTAATTGTTGTGCGCCGCACCGTTCTGCATATTCGAAGCGGTACTAAAAGTCTCATCGAGAGCGTATTATGCTACGTATGGTTTCATTTGATCCGCATGCTAACACGTTTATTGTTTTGTTCGTGCGTGATTAGCATTTGTTCGACGCACATCGATGGATTCCACGTCTGCAGAGTTAATGGCAGTTGGATTGTTAACATTTTTGGCTATGAGTGCCTTAGGTGGACTCCTAGGTGAAGCTCAGGTGGATTACAGCGCTAGCGTTGTGCTAGATACTATGACAAACACGAGTAACATGTTTCAAGACGCCCAAGATCTCACGACTCAAAGTCTCCAGACTTGCAACGCTTTGCGTCTAAATGCTGACAACATGATCACGTCATTCAACGACAGTCAATTGCCACCTGATGCCTTTCAGATGTCAGTCGAAGCATTAAGACTCGTGCACGCTTCAAAGGACTTGTGGAACCAAACGGATGCGCTTATGCCCAAAAACTACTCGAATATAGCCAAGAATTGGGAATTCAGCTACTTTGTTCTCAAATCGTCGACTAATGGTGCCATTTTGGCTGTAGCACTCGCCAGTTTTCTCTCAATTGCGTCTGTTGGATGGGCCATGGTGTCGCCACTACGTGTTTCTATCTTGATCATCCTGAGTGTTGTACCCATCTCCCATACACTCATTGGAGCCTATTTGTCGTCAACGCTCATGACGGCAGATTTTTGTGCTGCGCCAATGAACAACACTTTGGGACTGATTGGCTTGACGCCCATTACAAGTTATTATGTCGAGTGTCCCGCAAATGCATCGTTACCTTTTGCCGACGCGATGGCAAGTGTTCGACAGACTGCATTCGATGTGACAGTGCTGCAACGCAAGCTAGAGCGCAATATGACGCACCAGGGAGAGATTGGTCAACGTATAAAGCGCGAGTTTCTAGATCCTATTGGTAAGCAATTGGTCAGCGTGGACGACTGGATGGGAGAGTTTGCTGAGCTGCAAACTTGCAAGAACGTTTCACATGCGTTCGAACTCGCAACTTCTTCATTTTGTGAATATGGAATGCTTGGCTTCTTTTCTATGTGGGTGCATCAGATTCTGTTATGCCTTCTTCTTTTTGTGTCCGTCGTGACCTCTGTACTGGTCTACGAGCGTGTACACATTCGCGATATTCGTATGGATGTACGCTACCAGCTCGTATCAAGCTACGAAGAGGACGATATGGAACATGTTTACTTGTCGGCGGACTAAGTCGAGTGAGAAGAAGCTTTTACGTTGCATATATGTTGAATTAATTTACTTTTCACTTACCAGCATGATCAAGTATAATTCAATTCTTACAACTGCCTAATCATGAGGTATCGAGCTAAAAGCATAGTGATGATTGTATGTTTTGATGCGTGCATCAGTAAACCTGGGGCTTATAAGGTTTTGAAATGCGAATCAAGCTCTGTTCGAATAGACCACCTTTGCAGTATAAAAAGCTCATTTCGGATAATATTTAACGGCGCAACATCCACCGAGAAGCTCTACATCATTTTGCTTCCGATGCTCATGAAATTTAAAGTTGTAGTATAGTGCCGTACTTGATATTAATCATTACAGAATCAGTACGACCGTAATATTTCCAAGTGATGATGTAGGCACAGAGAAGTTACTGACCAGTTAGTATGGGAAACAAGTACCACGTAAAATAATCAAAAGCCCCGTAGGCATGTGGTGTAACAGGACACGTATCGAAATGAATTACACTATTGTCCTTTGGCTAAACGCAAAGCTCGCAAGTACCAAAGTATTAGGGTGATGGGGACTTAGTAAAGTTTATGAGAGACGTGGGTGCTTATTAATACAAAGAAATCTGGATATATGAAATACCAGTTTATGCTTAACCTAATTTTTTCTATATGTCATGTTGATAGCAAACTGGGTTGCTAGATGCTCTCGATCTCGCACTTGGGTGGAGCACACAAGCCCATTCTCTCTGCGTCAGAAATACAAATTTGTTGAGTCAAGCTTTCTGCACGGCAAACCCATCGCACTTGGTAGCACCTGTCTTCGATTCGACAACCGAGGTTTACTAGTATGACGATGGAATCGAGTTATCCAACTATTTGTTCTTGGAACATTTGGGCACGCTTGATAAGCTCTATATTTTAGCTGGCGCCGAGGAGATTACATAACTGGCGACACAGGGGTCGGAGGGCGATAATCGCTCGTCTGACAGCGTTCTCCAGATCTATATATGCAGCTTCCACGCTTCCACGAACGTCTCAAAAAGGCATCGTCGAAGCCTGAAGCACAACCGGGTCCAGCCGTATGGCCACATATGCTTATCGTCAATCCATTTAGGGGTACGGACACGAAAAAAGCAAGATGGCCATTAAAATAATCATGCCACAGACAGAGCATCAACGTTCTGCGCTGTCGGTGCTCACAGTGGGAGTCCACGCGATAGGGTGGATTTTTTGCGGTGTACCTCTACAACAAGATTTTCTCAATATGAGAAGTGCTGAAGTGGAAAAAGTCGCCGATGTGTTTGCCACTCTATCAGGAATACCATCTGCAATAACATTTTTATCTGCCCTTTCGTAAGGTGGAGTTAAGCGAAGTATAGTTAAAAATTGGAGGAATAGCAACAGACCACCTTTTGGAGAAAGTGCCATCTCACGGACGGCCTTCAATTAGGCGCAGACCTTCCGCGGGATCCACCCAACCTTTCACTAGGATGTGGTGGGATCATTTAGTGCGAAATTGAATGCCCCTATTCTGATTTCAGTAGGGGTGGAAAGCCCTAGGAGCGTGCCACATCAGCCAAGTTGTAAGGATAGAGATCTCTACACTGCTGAGCAGCCCCGCGGCGCTTACAGATTAAACACACGTAGGAGAAAAAGCCATCTGCACCCCGCGTGCTTCCTCTCTTCCTCGGCCGTAGGGTACATATGACCGTGCTCCCACGCAGGGTTGTTCGACACACCCCGCACGAAAAAATACTGAAAGCGCAGGGTGGTTTACAGCGAAAGCATTGAATGGATTATACCTCGTAGAAGTTGCGGCCGACGGAAGTCAACCTTAAAAGGAGTGACTTTCTCTGAGGGACGCGGAAATGATAGCCCAATTTTGTTGGGGTTTGATTCTGTGTCCCGGGTGTTGAAAGAAAGGTTCTGATTGACTTCAAAGCGTCGTGCATTTACTACGAAGCTCGATTGTCAAGAAGCGTAATCATGACGCGGTGGAATTGGGCATACCAAATACGAATGCAATATGAATGCGTCATGCGACGAGAAGCCTTGTAAAAAGGTAACAAAAGATATGCTGAATCTTCCAAAAAAGATAAAAGACTTTGACAGCGTGGAATGCTGTTTTGTCTTGGATCTGCATTTGATACAGAATCTCATCCTAGGTATGACGTGGCTGGAACGTCACGAGGTCACGAGCTATTAATCGACTGAAAGGCCAAAGTGATAGGTGTCGCGCCCTCTCTCTGTTAAAGCTTTGGTAATTTACGAAAACATTTCTACCAGAAAGCAGAAGCACTCTTGGCGAGAGCACGTCTGCGATATTTTTCGAAAAAGGTATTATGTTATCCAAGATCATTATTTTATCCATGATCATTAGTAATGTTGATGTTATGTGCCGTTGGCATAACCCAAAAGGCCCAATAGCTGTGGTCTCAGGATGAGACAACAAAGAGGGGTGATCCTGTATCGCGGTCTCCAGAGTGTGCCTTTGTTAAAAGGAAAGTAACAAATATGTCGTATATCCCAGTCCCTATTATGGTATGATGTGGGACTGTATCGAACAGCTGTTAGCTGGTGTCCTTAATTCCAGGACCTGTAAAAAATAGAAGTGAATGTTGTTTTAAGGTATCTAGTGCCCGAATTGGCTAAGTAGAACGGCGGCCTCATGTCACGAGTAAAAGTATTAGATTCGGAAGATAAAAACGCGGTACTGATGAATGAGCAATACCGTACCAGAGGCAAAGGCGAACCGTGGGGCAGTGAATTTTCTCGGGCAAGTGTTGAAAATCAACATTCAATCATGAGGACGAGCGACCGTGTGATTGCAAATCTTCTCACGTCTCTTATCAAGCTTAATCTGGTTGCAAGAATCGTAAGCCGGTGAAGTCACCGAAGTTGCACGTTATAACAAAGGTAAATACAGTGTGGTTCCTCCACATGCATACCTGACATGATCTCAAATCTTCTTTGTGGTACAGAATGCCGGTTCCTATTTGGGGAATTGTACCGGTGACGAGACCGTGCCTCTGTCCATTGAAGTGGGTGGCCTCGGCTACTTCTGCTGAGCACTTCCCACGGTAATTGCAGCTCAAGATTTTCAAAGTTCAAGCTCAGAAAACCCAAATTCTTGTATTAGTTCAAGCTGAGGTTCAATATTAGCTCATCCCTAATTGTACAGATCAGATTCATAGGAACCGAAGGTTTCAATTGTCAAACCTCTAGGAATCCGTGTTATTTGTTGTATGTAACTCTTTAAATCATTAACTCAATTTTGTTCAGGTACAAATTTTCCTCCAAGGCCTCAAGTCATTCGTTTTCTCTCTAAGTCAGGACTGTCTTTCTCTCTCCAATTCGCAATCGCTTCCTCGTTGCACAGGCGTACGTGTTGTGTTCAAGGTACTGTTGGAAACAGCGTCCCCACACCCTGGTAGCACTTCGAGCGGTCCTTCCAACGACAGTCAATTTTGGATTGACGACGCAGCTAATTTGCACGTCGCGCATATCAGTTTGAGCCATACTCCTGCTCTTGTCAAAGCGACATGTAGGGAGTTAAATGTCATTCGGCCCATCAGTACCACAACCTGAGGTGGATGAAGTAGAATTTTTTTCATTTGTCTTCACATGAGTCGATGACACTCGAGCAGATCCGAGGAGTCATCGGAGAAGCTGCTGTAATCCGCTTACAACTGTCGCCTTCTCTGAATGTCCAGAAAAACGCTGCCGTCAGTTTCATGCATCATGAGACTATGGGCTCTTGGAAGCAGGTCGCAACACCAGCTTCTTCTTACAGAACCATACCTCTGCAGCCGAACGTGTCTTCGATTGGTGGTGGAAAGAACAAGCCTCTTTTACGACGGTTTGTCGAGCTGGATGCAGCAATCACTGCAAGAAACGTATGAGACCCTATGAAGCAAGTGTTGTTCGCAATATCCCACCATGCGCGTCGTGCGAAGGGTTGGGCGTATGGTAAAAATTTAGCCGATCTAAAGTGCTTCCCAGCTACGAGCACATCAAGACCAAGCTAAAGAAGGCGTTTGAACAACCACAGAGTTAATTTCGTGCCTGTGCTCAGTTCTTGAAGCTTCGTCAAGCTCATTTACAATCTACATTCGCATAAGAGCCTACTCGTTAAGTAGTATCTATCGAGCATTGATGGTGAGCCAATTGACGCTTCAAGACAGTTGTAATAATCATGGCCGGTTCGACGGATAAGCCGATCCGATATCAACAGCTTTGTAAGTACTTGAAGACGCTGGACGGCGTCATCAATCGTACGATGCAAAGCGAATTTAACATCAAGCAAGACAAGCTCCATGGATTCGTACCAAGCCAAGAGCATCAGCCCACTGCTACATGCGATAGTCCATTGGCCAATGGGGGTCTCGTACAAAACGACGCCTTGATATGATTGGCCCCGCAACGATGACAAGTGATTCCGTTGCGGGGGAGCTAGGTCATATTGCTTGGAATTGCAGAGTACGCTCGCCGAGTCGGCAACAGACACAGGGTGCTCGTTCGGATAATTGCGGACGTTGTGAAGGTTATCAGTTCGAGCGGGAAAAATACGGGAACGAACAGTAGGGGGCGGAGGTCCCGTGCAGGTCAGACGCAACACGTGTGGCATAGCTTAATGATATGGGAATCGAGGAATCTGAGAACTCAGATATCGCTTTGTTGAAGCGCGAGCTTACACACCTGCTTCGCTATGTCTTAACCCGATGATTGCTGTAGCACACCACCGACCCACTCGACAATCAGCGCGAAGTTTGCCTGAAGATGAGGATCTATGTCAAGAAAAGTGCTAGAGCGACATAATATCTCTTTGGTTAAGCATTTCAATAGAGAGGATCCATATTGCTAGGTGAGCGCTATGTACTGGAGGTATCACACTCATAGTTGGAAAAGCACAAATGTGCCTTATGTAAAACATGTACGCTGGTTACCCTCCCGTGCGCGGCGGTACCTTTGGCCAGTCTGCCAGTTTTCGGTAGAGTGTTGACCTTCAATGACTATGAAGTATTTTTTTGCTTTCCCAAAAATATCGCCTTGTAATACGGTACGGTGGTTTTGCGAACAGTTTGAGCAAGATAGATCATCTGAATGTCGTCGGCGTAGTGTGAATGGTGATGATTGTTCGTGCACAAACTATTTCGCCAACATGGCTTGCCAGTGGTAATTGTGTCAGATTGAGATCCGCGCTTTGCAGCAAATTCTAGTGAGCTTTGTTTAAGTTGTAAGAAACCCGATTGGACATGTTGACCGCCGACAATTTGGCAAAAGATATTACGGCAAGAGCGATAATTCTGTGATGATGGATGTCGTCAATAACGCTTAATCGGATAAATTGGAGTGATGGAGCGTTAGCCTCTACTCATTAAAATTGCATTAAATAACACAGGTCATGCCAGCATATATTCGACTCCATTTGACATCTATAGTCAAGGTAGATTCTTTTCAGACCACCACAAAGCGGTCTGGCCTTAGTGGTGGGGTGATCAATCCAGTTTATCTTATTGATTCTAGCCCGAAGACATATGAGGCAGAATTAGTGATTTTAATATCAATTAGATTGAGCGTCATGCATAGGATGAATGACGCTTTGTCTGAGAGCTAAGCCAATCAGAACTTTAAGCCGAAGTCAGAGACAGACCAAACCTACGAGTGTGTTGTGAGAAAAAAGTTAATCGGTGTGTAAGGAGCTAAGACACAGTTGCGATCAGTCACATTATCACAATAATAGCAAAAAATTAATAGAGAACCACGCTTAGCATTATCAAGAAAAATGCAAATACAAAAAAAAATTGCGTGATCGTGGGTACTGAGTCCGTTTGACGATATACCTCTTACGACCCATTGAATGTGAATAGCCCTGTTGCTGACGAAGCAGCGTTTCTATCGTTCCTGTTTATGAGCTATGGTGCGGACAGAGCAGAATATCTGTCATCCGCTGTAGCTGAACTACCCTCTGCTTCAAAACAGTGGAGCGGCTCTTAACTTATGGTGGTGCCTCGAGCCAGGTGGTACGATAGCAAAATCCGAGATCTGACTCACGACAGTTTCGGACGCATCATGAAATCGACGATAGTCAGCGTGCCGACACTGCAGAGAGATCTCACGAGGTCCGTTCGTGAGAGGGTCAACCTTTACGGGTACTGCTTGATGAATAAAGGTCGATTCATTTATATATGAAGGTTTTGATGGCCAGACGGGTACCCAAGGCTATACTAGACCCGGTGGAGTGGATGAAATACATTTCTACGAAGGCCACGGAAGTTCGAGGTCCCTTTAGGTAAAAAAAACTAATGTCATCGCTACTTGCGACCTGACGCGCCCTCCGCCATCATATCTTTTGTTTAAGAGATAATGTCGCCCGTCGCAACTCGATTCTTACTAGTGGGTGGGAGGAACCTGGTACTGAATTCGAGACTTTCGATAGCTGTTGCAGCTATCCCATGGAGATAAGGAGGGCTGTCAGCAGCAGGTACTGCGGGTGAGGAAAAATAGCGTTGACGTCCCTTTCGTGGTTTGTACTCCACAAAGTCAATCATTTGATGACGCTCTAGATAGACGCCCGCTTCATGAAATTTGGCTTAAAAAAAACTTGATGTAGGTGTGATAGCGCGTTTAATTCAACCATTGCGGAAACAGTATCAAGTCAAATTACATCGTTCATGAAAGGTGTAGCCGCCGCTGTTCTAAACACACATGGTTCTAGGATTGAATACCTGTGTTAATTTTGCTTTTGGTACAAGCAAGAGACTTGTACAAATAAATACGCAAGGGTTTTGCATTAGCGGGGCGAGCAAATTTAGACGGGGAGAACATAATGACAACAAGTCTCTTTGAGCAAAGTCGGTGTGACTCCTGCGCTTGCAATTAAGCAATTTGAGATGCCTTGATCAGGTGATGGTAAGCTAGATATTATTACTTGCTACACGGGGGTGGTCGCAAAACTTTCTACCGTGGCAAAAGGGCCATGATTTCGGAGCTCATTCAAAAAGGATGCCAAGCGTGGTGGTTACCCGTGACATTTTTGCCGGCTTTTGTCTTCCCTGACGGGTGGGCAAGAACTTCGATCGTACTCGCTCGTTTCCTGACCCCTTCAAGACTTACTTTAGCTTTAATTTACTGAGCGAGGCAAGTCGACCCGGGGATAGGTACTTAAACACATCTTGTTCCATCCACTTAGAAGACACAGCCCTTGCACGAAGAATCACAGATTCCGCGTTCGCAAACGCATAGAGATTGGATTTGTAAACTTCATTAGTAGTGAAACCAAGAGCCTTTAATATAACTGAGAGATGCGTAAGCTCAGTGACATATATTTAGTGCAGCGGGGCTGCCGTAGCTTAGCGCTTGAGGAAGCGTACTTTAGGTCACCAATCTTTCGTTCTTTACAAGATCCAATACGAGTGTAGCGGATCGCAATCGCTAACTCCAAGAGTAGTGACTACCTCAACCAAGAATAATAAACTTTCCGGTTTAAATTCAAGACTGATTTTTATTTATTTTTATCTGCGGCTAAACTGCCTAACTTTAAATGTAGATTTTACTAAATATTCAAATTAAATCTAAATACATGTATAACTACTGGCTACCTAGCCACATACCGTATTCTTGTTTGGGTGCAGTGACATCTCGTGTGATACACAACCCTGTTACCAGGGTACGTGTATACCCTCCCCCATTAAGATTGAGAACATTTACAATTCCAATCGACTATTACCTCAATGAGGCTGCGTGTCCGCTAGACACTGCAACTTGTCGAAACGACTTCCGTGCTCAATGGGCCCTGTGACCACGATACGGAAGTCACCAAGTCTCGCTGGTTCTGACAGCGAGCACGGGGCGAGCCCAAATTCGTCTCCTGCACGTAGTGCTATGTCCGACAGTGCGTTCGCGGCACCGGGGGATGTACATTCTAGGCTCGATGAGCACGAGGTTCGCGCTTTGCGCACGCTATCAATGACGAGTGACCTCGTTGAGGATGTGGGGTGGTCGACTATGAGTCTGACACTCCTTTTCCCGCATGGGATGACGAGGAAGGCGAGCTGCGCCAGCGGCGTGATACGAGCCCTGCTCGTGCCTTGCGGTCCCCATGTCCGTTCCCTGAGTTCTCGTCAACCGAGGAACGTGGTGTAATCACCAATGACCTCGACACGGAACAGAGGCGTCAGCTTGAAGCTGCCTATAAGGCGGCTATAAAGCGCGCCCATCCACGGCCGGTCATTGACCCTCGCTTCCGCCCTGCGGATCCCGCTGTGCAAGCGTAGGTCGCGGTAACTCGATCGTTACGCGTCCACATCATCGGGCTTCCGACCAGAACGAAAGTGAACTTGCCACACTGAGAGTTCCTCGAGCTCGTTTCTTGGTCCCGCAAGAAATTCCGTTAGATGTTTATCGCACTCGTCTACGTGCTCAACGAGGTGCTTCTCGTGTACCCGCAATGCGGACGATGCCTGTAGTGCTCGCCCCTGGCAAAAGGGCTGCGGATGACGAAGCGCTCTTTAAGCGATGGGTGCAACGGCACCGGAAACTTCCTTCACTGTATAACCTACAGTTGAGCCACAAGGAAGTTGACGTGCGTGTGGAGCGACACCTCCGATGTGAATTAGCCAGACTCAAGGCACGCCGTCGACTTCTTTAGGACTGTCGCCCTGCGACGTATGGGTTAATCCCTAATGCTTCTGCTAGCTCTGTGTCTTTGACCGCAAGAGATCAAGGCCACTGCTTGAGCTCAGCTCAAGGCCCTTCTACTTCCGTGACTATTGCCAGGAAGCGCGGGCGTCTGTTGACGCGGGACGTCCTGATCTTTCCAATCAAAAGCGTCCACGGCGACTGGGCAATCTTGCCAAAGTGGCGCCTCAAACTCTCACGAATTTTCGGAGTCGGATATCCCTGTCACTTCACCGGATATTGGATTTGACCCTGGTGACGATGTCGTCCCTCAAGGTGTTCCACGTGATAGTGGACGTCTCCGTTCTCATCGAGAAGAGTCGGTGGCGGGCGGTGACGACC